CTATCAGCTTTTGATATGATCTAAAACACCTGAGGTGACCGAGATCGCAAGGATCGCAACTATTGTCACCAAAGTTAGCAAGTTAGTCACGGAAGACCGTCACAGATAAAGAAAGATAGTCAAGGAGTGCTGCAATTTTGGTGAATCCCACGGCAACACACTGAGGCATAAAGAAAATTGCTCAACTCCGTTCAACACAACTTTCCAAAATCATTCTGTCTGTTTACACTGTGCAGCTCAGTTGAGTCTCATAGACCTTTATCCCAATTGTCGTCACAGTACCACATGACCCAGATCTGTTGCTTCATTTATGCATATTGAGGTGAGGTTTACTAAAACGCTTTTTTACTATTAATAGATTGTTTTTATAATTTTTAAATGGCGGGGATCGATTAAAACATACCTCTAGTGTATAGATTGAGTGCTGAATCTTCAAAATTCGAGAAATGGATTTTTACATGAATATTGTCCTTTAAATCAGCATAATCACTCTAACCCTTATATATATATGTACTACACGTAACATGGAAAAACTAGCAAGTGATTCAGTTCCATGGAGTATAAAAGCCACTGAAAATACAAATGTGTGAAAAATAAAAAAATTCACACATACACAAAAAATAATGACTGTTATTGTAAATCGATCACATTGATTAAGAGGGGGGTTCAATGAGGTCCTGACCCCACCCCTTTGATTTTTGTAAAAATCACACTGATATTCTCCATTTGAAATCAAAATTTTGACCTGCTTATTTATAGTCCTTAACCATTACAAATGGCACCATTTGCCCTCCAAAACACCATTATATTTTGGGGTTATTCAGCGCATCCTGATCACCCCCAAAATCAGATCACCCCCCCCCCCCCAAAAACAATCCTGGATCCACCCCTGGATCATGCGGATTTTTGAAAGCAACCTGCCTCCTTACCAAACAAAGCCACTTAGTGAACATGAAGTAAAACAAGGCAGCAAAGCTGTCAAATGTACAGACAAAAAGCAGACAATAACAATGCACAAAATAGGCTACTGTCAATTCTGATGCGAAAGTACATTATGCTTAACTGCAAATTCAACATCAAATTTTAATTATGCTCAACAGGTAATACTGACGTAAGTAAAATGTGTAACAAGCATAAGGCTTCAGGCCGATGGGAGTTCAAGTTCACACTTTGAAAATGCCAGAATGAGAAAAATGAAAATTTCACACAAAACTGCATAAATTCAATAATAAATGATAACCCAATTGAGCTGGCTTTCTAATTTGAACTGCATGCCAATCCTAAAAATCATACTTGTAAGTTAAAAATAATTATAAGTAACACACTTTTCTTTTCATAATGTTTGTAGTAGCAGTGCAAAAAGATTTTTGCCAATTTTGATGTAACATTACATAATAAATAACAGAATAATTATCACCAATTTTTGATAATTGACTATAAATAGCATGGAAATGTAGAAACTTGATTACCATTCAGCTTCATGTCCATGGGAGCTCTGAGTCCCACAATGAATATGCCAAAACGATAATAATGATTATTTCACTAAAAACTTCCAGAAAAAGAAGCCAATTAGACTGCTTTTCCAGCTCAGGCCGCATTTTAGTCCTGTGTTTCTTTTTTGAAAGTTTGACAGTCATACGTAACATGGTTTTCCCATAATGGTCATCATGGCAGCAGCACCAAAAATTGTATTTTCTTCTATTTTGATGCAACATTACATAATGCTTAACAGCATAATGACCATCAATTTTTAATAATAAAATAAAAACCTATCATGGATTTTCAGAAAATGTGACTAGCATGGGTCTTCAAGCCCGTGGAGGTTCTAAGTCACACCCTGAAAATGCCAATATGTGAAAAATTAAATTTTCACAAAAAACTGTTTAATTGCCAGAAAATTTTACCAAACAGACTGCATTGCCTACTGAAGCTGTATTTTATTCCCATGTTTCTTTCCTGTAAGTTTGAGAACAGTAATTGACATGGTTTTCCTTAAATGGTCATCATGGGAGCAGTGCCCAAAATAGGGGTTTATTCAAATTTTGATGCAACATTACATAATGTTTAACAGCATAATAACCATCAATTTTCAATAATAAAATATTAGTAACATGGACATTCAGAAAACGTGACCAGCAAAGGTCTTCAGGCCAATGGAACTTCAAAGTCACACCTTGAAAATGCCAAAATGTAAACAAGACAGCACTTTTCTGACATGGGTTTATTTCCATTTTTAACACTTTTTAACATAAAACAAAATAAAACATTTACTGCAATTTTTATATGATCAACTAAGAAAATTGATGAGATGGGAAAAATATCAATAGAACAGTATTAAATGTCCAATTTCCTCCATTCTGTGATTCTGAACATAGTGGATGATTGAATCTGACAAACTGCAATGATATGTGTTTATTTCCATTTTTGACCTCTTTATTACACAAAACACAATGACAAGTTTACCATCATTTTTACATAATCAACTAACAATGTTGTAAAGATGCAGGAAATGTCATACAAACACTTTTACGTATCTTATTAGTTAAATAATAAGGCTATAAACGAGACTGTTAACATGCCTAAGAATTGAATCTGAGGAAATGTGAAAAAACAGCATAACTTCTAAAATAATGCCCCGATTATGCTGATTTTCGTACTCAACCTGCATTTTAGTAAGATTTACCACTCCTGTGAGTTTAATGACAATTGGCTTATCTGTTTTTCTTATATTGTGTTTACAGTGTTGCATATATGCTGAAATATGCTGAAAAGTGAAAAAACAGCATAAATTCAATAATAATGGCCCGATCATGCTGATTTTCGACCTTGACCTGCATTTTATGAATATTCATCAGCTCTGTAAATATACGGTAAAGTCTTGAAAATTTCGTNGTCTGTACATAATAAAAAAGATCCAAAATTTTTGTAGCACCTACCCTAAAAGAATCCTGTGGTCATTCAAAATTCCCATTAATTACATGTAACTGCAACTTAAATAAACAGAAACTAACTTGTTTTTTTTTTTTTTCACTAAGCAAGGATAAGACTGCCATTTAGTGAAAAAGTTAGAAAATACATGTCCAGGGGTCTGCCTAGGTCCAAGTTATACTGAGAGAGTAGGAAAAGTCTCATCCCTGACTAAGCCAGACAACCACCTACCTCGTTCTCCACTGCTGCTGTGACCTCCTCCCTCAACACTTGGCTGGAGATGTGGAGACCATGCCCCATTAAACTGTCTAGGGAACGACGATATATCTGAAAAACATTCAGCCTTTATCTTTAAAAATTCATCACATTTTACAGCAAATATGCTAAAAGCATCTTTGCATTCTTTTGGACCTGATATTTTTATTAATCATTGAAAAATCAAAAATGAAGAAAATAATAAACTTTCAATATGTCCTTACAAATAAGTTGATTTTCAAAAGCATAAGTAAACTCTATGACAAGCAGACCATAGTACAAATTTATATGTCATTAATATAGACTGTAAACAGATCTGTTTAGTTTAAAATAGACTCACATTAAGTGCCTTGCTGATAGTCTGAGCTGTGAATCTCCCAGGATAGAAAATATAATCCATGTATGTCTCTCTGGGTTCCCTGTGCAGAGGCACAATGACTTCAGGAGATTCTGGCTGCTGTAGGTGAACCATGTTCCATGGGTCATAGGAGAAATTATCACTGCTTTGAAGAATAAATCGATGTTTATTACTCATAAATGTCATCAACACAGAAAAAAAGCTGTTTTTCAAAAAAAATAATCACTGCTTAACATTTACAGGAAGAAGTATTCCTGGGAAACACTGCCTCATGACAAAAAAGTGCAAAAACAATTTTTGGCAATTTTATATTTGCAGGAAAGATGGACTGCTAATTTGTCTGAGTGAAAAAAGTGTTGCACAATCAAAGCAAAATCTAATTGAATAAATGCCCATCTCTTATGACAATACAATTACCATAATTGCACATAAACATTTATAAAATTTCCACAAACTGAAGACTGATGTACTAACACTATACTTACTCGTCTAAGGCTGCATATCTGACCACTGTTTCACTCTCTGATGTGGTCCACAGTGACCACAGGTGAGTATTGGTCAGACTGAACTCTACAAGGTCCTCCTAAGATGATCACAATAAATATTCAGTTAACATTGAGATGCAAGTAACTTGTTCACACAATGTTAAATTGCACTGGTTTTTCATGTCTGCTAAACTGTCATGTATCTTATAGCTGCTATGGAACAGAAAACATTCAGGAAAAATAATAATAAATAAATAATAATCTTTCAGTCTTTTAAACAGAGTGACAAAATCTTGCTTTAATTCTTAATATTTCAATGAAGCAACAAAGGACTAAATTCAGTTTGCCAATTTGTGAGCTACTTGCATGAAAATACAGACATACAAAAATATTAGTAGACTTACATGCACAGTTCCACTGAGAAAAAATAGACTGCTAAATAACCATAGGTTGGCTTTCTACTTACATTTGGGGCAAAGACAGTTGTAATCAAGTTCAGCTGGTATCGACCATCTGCTAATACTGGTTGAAATATGCAAAACTGCCAAAAAAAAAAAAAAAACATTTTGCATTATAATCAAAATCACCATTAACTGTCATGCTATATTTATAAATAAATAAAAATAGCAAAACGGTATTTTATCATTTCTTAGTTTCAAATTCAATGCAGTACAATTTTTTTATAAGTCACCTGATTTCTGTCAGAAAAGTTCAAGAAAACTCCTAGGTGTAGCATGTTGCCCTCCACTGATTTTCTGATAACATGGCCTCTAGCTGAAAAACAACAACAACAAATATATGAACTTTTCAATAATTTGCAAAGCTTGTCCAAGTCAATTTTTAATTTAATTACATAGAATAGAAATTTTATTCAATAGCTTCCGGATGTATATTTTAAAATATTGATACGAATCGTACAAAAATAAAAGCATTTTCCATAAAGATGGGCAAACATATACTTCTATATATAGGATTCCTACCTCCTATTGTTCCTTTCAGAGGGTCAAGTTTATCTGGAATAAAGTCCAGCATGTCACTGACCAGCACACATTCTTGGTTCTGAAAAATATGAATTCAAACTTGTACCATGCAAGTACATGTTCAAAAACTTACAACTGGCAATAGGTTTTGATGCTGAGAACATTGCTGTTCTTCTACGGCTGACAGAAAGAATTCATAGACAGCATTTATAATGCTAAACTTTCCTTACATTAACTGTCATTTATTGTAAAAAAAATATGTTTCTATGGTTCTTTAAAGGGAACAAAATCATATCATGAACTATTGTTTTAATAATCTAATCCAAAGAGTTTCTTTTTTTTTTTTGTTATCAAAGGAATGATTAAAAGAAGAGAAAACTAATCAGAATACAAATATGTCTTTAAGCTGAAAATAATACCTTACAGGACCACATTCTGAGTTTGTGGTCTCTACAGATAGCAAAAATGAACACATCCTGACCCAGATAATGAAGACACACACTTTCCGCCATGTCAGCTTCAGATGGACCACCCCTAATCAAGATAATTAAATTTTTTAAACAAATTGCAGGTGTAATATCTGACATTACTTATGACTTATTATATATACACCAAAAGATCATGCTTTTTTTCCCCATGGATTTAATGTTTTACATTACTAATAAAATCTATAAACTTTTAAAGTTTGTTACTCATGGATATTTAACAGTTAACTAACAAAAAGGCAGCAGACACTATCAAATTTGATCAATGCTCTAGATCCATAAATGCAAAGAAACACCCAAACACAACAGGTAACAAATGATCTGAATATTGCAGTCTTAATAAAAGGTTAACTCAGGTTTGAAAAGAATTTGCTTAGTTTCATGTCCTACCTGATCATAGCTGGTACTAGTCCTGTCCACAGCCTCTGCATCATACTGGCATGTTTCAGTTCATGTTGTGTCACTATACCTACAATACAGGAGTTTGGAGAAAAATATGTACCAGTATTGAAAATATTTAATGCTGCAGCATGGTTACATATGCATATATATTATACAAAATACAAATATTATATATATAATGAACATAATAAGAAATGTAATTAATTCATTACTTTTTTAATGTTCATTTTTGTACAGTGATAATTCTTGAAATTAATGCCAGTTATTTCTATTTCTCATTCACATCATTCATAAATTTTGTTCACACACAATTGAAGACTATCACAATTAAACAAGCATTTCTAATTCCTTGAAAACTCCCCATGGAGAAACTGCTATAACACAGTCAAAATATTAAATGCTGCAACATTGTTATATATACATATATTATACAAAATTAATATATAAAATGTACAGTTTAAAATATCTCTTAGGTCAATATCAGAGAGAAAAAGTTACTATGACTACAACAGTTTCTATAATAGCATATAAATAATGAACAAAATAAGAAATGTAATAAATTCAAGGCTTTTTAATATTCGTTTTTGTATACTGTTAATTCTTAAAATTCAATGCCAGTTATTTCAATTCGTTCTTGTTCACATCATTTATAAATTTTGATCATGCTTAATAAAAGACAATCAAAATAAAACAAGCATTTGAAAATTCCCTGAAAACAACACAGTCAAAATATTAAATGCTGCAACATTGAAATATGTACATATATATTACACAAAATGAATACATAAAATAGAAAAATATCAGAGAGAATAGGTTACTGTGACTGCAAGAGTTTATACATATATCTATATAGCATTTCAAAATCCCGAAAACTCTACAACATTTTCACCTGCAAATAAATATTAATCTTTTTTTCAATATCTGAACAATTATAAGACAAACAGTACAAAAATAATCATTCTGTCATGCACAATTGCATTCAAAACATTTCTACACCTTTTTTACCTTTTTCCTCTTTGACTTACAAGTCTCTTATCTAAGCCTAAGGAAACACTTCAACTTCTGATCAATTTACCTTGAATTCCTTTTGGTGGTAGCTTGATAAACAGAATGCTCCCTGTGCTCGTGGCCAGGGCAAATAAAGCCTCCCCTTCAGTGGTGAGCCAAGCTCCAGCAGCATGTAAGGAGTAAGCCACATTACTCACTGGGCTTATGGAGTGACAGTCCGAAGGCTCACAAAGATTTACTACAGAGGCATCCGTGAAGATGGACATCTAAATATAAAGAAAAACAATACAGTCAGCAAAATTTGTTGCAGTTATGCAAAGGTACTACTGAATCATTGTGCAGCTAATGCAAAAGAAAGTTTTTGTTTAACAATTTCTTAAAATTAAATGATAATCCTGGTTAAAAGGTGATAGATATGTTAAGTCTACTGTACCTAATTAGCAAAAAAAAACTTTGATATTATCAATATCACATTAAAAAATTCAAAAGACAGAATTCCTCTGCCTACAGATGCAAAATATATAACACAACCTGAAGACAAAGATATTCAGCTCCATCATACTCCATGAGAATTCTAATATGCTTAATCATAAGTAAATACAAATAGTACATGAATATAAATATCATATAAATTTCAAATAGTGCATGAATATAATATCATATAAAGTTCAATCTTTAAAGATAAAATCTGTTGAATAAAATGGATTTAATCATTATCAAATGTATAACAACTGAAGTATTCATACATAATTGCAAACCCACTCTTTGTCTGAATACAATATCCCCCTCAAAGATGAGTGTGAGTGTGTGTGTGTGGGGGGAGGGGGGTTGTAGGGACAAAAATAGCTTAATATTATTTAGTCCTTTTACCTGATGCTGCAATGAACTTGGGTGTGGAAAGACCAGGCGGTGGACACTGGACACTGTGGCCACAAGGAAGACCACCTCTCCTCGACTCTCAAAAATGCTGATGTCACCCAATATGGCAGAATCCTGGAAGTGGAGGCGGATGGCATTTCCATGGAGATCGTTGTCCAGTGATAGTTCTACAAGCTCTAGGGTGTCTTTGTGAACCCTCCTGAAAAAAAGAAGCAGTTGAGATTTACAGTCAAAGATATATTTTTTCACTTGGTGCATCTAAATAACATTGTCAAATTTTAAAATAAATCTGTATGCCTCAAGGTGAAGACACTCACAATAAAATTGAAAAGAAATATTCATCTTGTTAGCAAATGCCTAAAGACCTAACTTAAAGCAAAAAATATTGAAAACTATACTGAAAAAGTCAGCACTATCCTATTTTCATACAACCCTTAGTATTACTTTGACAATTTTTTAAAGACTTTTCCGAAAGGCAGTACTGACAGACAGGCAACAAAAAGGGAATGTTGACTAGTTATACTGTGTTCTTTACTCTTTCTTTCAAACAACCAACCTTGAAACATTGACTCCCTTAAGGTCTTTACTAAGGTCCTGCCTGTCTCTTACTTTCAAAATGTCTGCCAAATGCATCACAGAAAAGAGGCTAGCAGGTCATGTGGACTACTTCTCACTTATGCAAATCATATGTGGAGAGACTGAGATTGTGCTAGTTGAGCTTCTAGTATTGCCGGTGCACTTATTGCACCTATAGGCAGATTTAATATATTCAAATCAATCTATATAAAAATGCATGTAAAATAAGATGACCATAATTGACTGGCATTACCAGTATATGAATCTGTTCCTTGCATATGACTGCAGTCTGTTGCCATCTCTGAACACATATCCTCCTGCAGACTCTGGAACCTTTAAGTCTTGGATGGTGCTGCCAGATCCACCTAAAATAAACATATGAGAGAACTGCATACTAGTAAGTAAAATCAAAACACCACACAGATTATTTATAATAGTTATAGAATAAACTGTAATGATGAAATTACCAACACTGCATTATTTACTTCTGTGTAGGATTTAATGGATGAAACAAATTGGCAGTTAATTTCAATCAAATAATATTTGAATATCTTTCGGTATTTTTACGTGTCAAGTAACACAGGCACAAACAAATATTAAAGCTAGGTCAATTCCATATGTGTAAAATGCTATTAAGATTAATAAACTTGATGTTTGGATAAACTATGAAAGTGAAAAGAAAATCATTTTCAATGCTAAGAGTTTAAGGCTGCTGTCTTATGTCACCTGCATCAGTGCAATGAGATATTAGTGTGTACAGGCCAACGGCAACAAACAGGCAGGGAACACATCTTCAATTTTAGTTGGGAAGTTGTTGGAACCATCACTTCCTTGATGTAAATATCTTTATCACATTATCCAGTCCCTACCTCCCTACCTACTCACTGAACCTCACAATCATCATCCATACAGTTGATGGGGGGGGGGGGGGTAATTATTTTATCTTTTTTCTTTATGTGTGTGTGGGGGAGGGGTGGGAGAAAAAATATACTAAATTCATTGGTGGTGGGGTGTGTCAACTAACTTTGTGCATCGACAAGATGTTAGCATAGCATCTTGTAGGAACAGTGCTTATATCTATGTCTATCTAAAGTGATGTTTGTGATTCTAACAAAATGAAATTGGTTTCATTTCAAACCGAAATTGGCGAACCGAATGAATGACTTCAACTGAGTTTGCAATCAAAGCTGTTTTCACCATAAGCAGCACCTAAGTGTCATATGCAATAAAACCTTGATTTGATGGTCAACACGATATACCTGTATTCACTGTTATTTCCTTCCACCTGATTGGAAAGCCTTTCTTTTGAACAACTTCGCGAAAACTCATGCAGTTTTCCGCCATCTTCGCTTTAATCTCCAAACCTGTTGATGAAATCCTTGTTCTTGCAATACTAATAGGAACAATAACAGAATAATACAATACTTGTGAAATGAAAAATAATTTCAAATTAAATGATGGAATAACTATATCAATGCGTTGCTTTAAAAGCTTTCCGGAAAAGCGTTCGAGATTTTAGATTAAGTAGCCGGCGTTTCTGTCTGTGCGTCGTAATGAAAGCGTGATTGTAAATAACACAAGATGCCGAAGTAAGTACAGGTTTAATGTGGGCGCATTTTCAAGCCTTTTCAAAAACTTAAGGCAAAAAATGGCCATAGAGCTTTATTTTCATATGCTAAGTTGTATGGATATTTAGTTTTTTACGTTATCTTTAGTGTAGCTGTTTTCTTATTTGGAGATTTTATAGAGCGACCAGTGAGTCTTACATCGACATTGTCTACTTCCCATATCAGCGTGATTCTACAGTTTCGTTTGACTCCACTATTTATTTGAAAGATACCTACCAGGCAGAGTCCAAAAAAAGCTAGAGCAACTACAAAAAAGTTACGAGGAAGTTGTTTTCAAGATTTTTCTGTTCAAATGGAAAATTTGGAAATGGTGATGTCTTATGCCAGATGTGTTTATTATTGTTATCATATATTTCAGATATTATTGTGACTACTGTGATACCTACCTCACACATGATTCTGTAAGTATAAACAAATAGGACCCCAAAACACTTCTCTGTGTAAAATTAACGAAAATCTAAAAAAAAAATAAAAGAACCAAATTGTAAGACAGTATACTACAGAAATGGTGATTATGTACAATATGAATGGATATTAATTTAATTGAATTCGGGTAATAAACAATATAATTATTCTGTCTACCCTGCTGTGATACTACTGCTAACTCACTCCATGAGCTTCATTTCTGAACTTGAAACAAATTTCAAGATATTTGCTGAGAATGATTAAGCTGGTAAAGTTAAGCAGTTAAAAATTGAACAAATCTTAATCGTCATTGCTAGTGAGAATGTTTTCACTGCAGTGCAGCATCCATGCCTTTAGATTTTCTAATACTTTTAATGGATATTTTCACATCCTTTTCATTCAAGCCTTCTGTAAGAAAAACACATTGCAGCGGCAGAAAGCACAAAGAAAATGTCAGATTATATTATCAAAAATGGTTAGAAGAACAAGTTCAAAAGCTGGTGGATGACACAAGTAAGTCAGACTAAAAGAAGTCTTACTTTATTAAAATGGGGAAATGAAGCACATTCCATAAGTTTCAAACATTTCTTTGCAAAATGTTAGAATAAAGTTACTATCAGGACAGAAAATTAATACTAATTCTGTTAAACATTCAGTCTTTTTTTATTTGAGTATGTGTATAATGCCCAATAAAATTAAAAACAAAGTAATAATATTTTGTCTTTTTTTCTTTTCAGCTGCTGCATTCAAACAGGGTAAAATTGCCAGTAATCCATTTGGCCCAGGTGGTCCTGGACTGCCGGGCCCTGGGGGTGCTATGATACCACCTCCATCTAATTTACAACAAAGTAAGTCCCTAGCACACAGCATGCAAAATGTTGTCCCAGGGTGGTGCTGTTTATTAAAAAAATTAGACCCCCCCCTCTCCTGTCATCAGATATCACCCATTGCTTAATCAAGTTTGTAATGATTGAAACTTGAATTCTCCCTATTCTAATATGATAGTGATTGTGGGTTAAGGGTTCAGACTAAGGCCACCTTTTGACAAGCTTTTCTTCTTTTCAGCTGGTATCATAGCACCCCATGGTATTGATTTACCTAATGGATCATATTTCAATTCTTTGTGATAATTTAAATCAGCTTAATTGATGTATGGTAATTATTGTTGTATCCTAATTAAAATATAAATTTAAATTTTCAACTGCAAATGAAATCTGAGTTAATGCAATATTAATTAAAGAGATTTTAAGATTTTAAGAAAAAATATTTAAATGCAATTTGATATGCTGCATTTCACATAATAGTGGTTCCTGCTTTAAAAAAGCCCCCTTAACACCCTTAAAACATAAATAGAAACTCCTGCTTAGATAGAACACCCCCTTGTCACATGTCATGTGACAAATGCATATAACATCATATTAAATCAATACAGTACATTAGTTTTGCATGTTTTGGGATCCAAAGAAAAAATGAACACCTGCTTTAAGTTGCTGCCCCCTCGACACCAAAAACATTTAATAGATACAGGGCCGCTATTATGTGGAATATGGCACTTGTGTTTGGAGAAACGTATTCTATAAGATGAATTATCCTGACTCACACAGATGCATACAGCAGATAACATAAGCAGATAAAGATATATGCAGTATAAAACCTGCATTGGTAATCAAATGCAACTGTTTTAACAGGTGCAAAAACACCTAGTGGGCCCCCTACAGGGCCTCCTGCAGGCCCCCCTGGTGGGCCTCCCATGCCAGGTCCACCTCAAGGGCCTATGGGGCCTGGTGGGCCTATGCCAATGATGGGGCCTGGTGGACCTATGATGCCTATGATGGGTATGTACTGGTGTACACTGGATATTTACATACTGTGTTTAATTACTGTTACATATTGGTTATTATTACTCTTTAATATTGTTTCTTTAATATTATGTGCATTTGTACATGCGATATTTACATATTGTGTTTAATTATTATTATATATTGGTTATAATTACTTCTTAATATTACTTTATTATTTTGTTTTCTGATATCTTTAATTAAACAGTTTTTCTTTATCTTTAGTGGTGGTTCAATGGAAACAACAGTTTGCTTTGTTTACAATAAAAAAAATAAGTGGTCTTTTAAATTTAACAAACTGAGGAGCAGTGTTCTGTGTAATAATATATTGACTTACTGAATCTTTGATTTATTCCATACTCATTTTTGTTGGCAATAAGTAAAATTGTTTAAAATTTAGCACAGTATTATATAACATACTCTATATAAATAATTGTCCACTAAATCAATGCTAAATCAACATTTCTGACCTAAGACATTCCTGAAATGAGCTTGGTTAAGAACTAAAACACAGTGCCATACCTTTCCAGGGATGCGTCCCCCAATGGGCCCACCTATGATGATGATGGGACAAATGGGACCCCCGGGACCACCCATGAGAATGATGGGACCACCCAGGAAATAACATCAAACCTATTCGGATGTTTAGGAAGAATTTTGCTTTAAATTGCCTTCTCAGTTAGGGAAATAATTGGCAGGAGAAAGATGGAACATTTCACTGAGAAGTCTTTCTTTGGGTGCCAAGGATTGGGTTAACATTTGTCGGGAGCATTGTGACAAAGATTTTAGTCTTGATCCAGAGTGTGGAGGGGGTTTACCTCCAACTGTGGCTGAATTGTAAAAAAGGGACTTTATTGTCTTTATCAGTCAAAGAACATTCAGGTTAATTGCGGGACTTGCATGTTTGTGCTAGCCCTGACTACCAGAGAGAGCTTTAGAACAGTAACAATACTTTTTAGTGTCAGTGAGGATTTATTAAAAGATGCCTCTGAACGTTTTTAACAGACAAATTGAGGGTGAGATATTGATTTCACCTATGAGATAATTTTAATAAAATACTGAAACACTGATATTTAAGGACTTTTTTGGCATCCAAGTACTATACGTTGCTAAGTGTAAAAAGAAAGGAAGGGCGTCCGGCATATGACTTTGTCTCTGCATTTACGAAATCAAAAGTAAAGGACAAACACAAGCATGTTGTTCAAAATTAAGCCAGTGACGTCCGCTTTTATTGAAAGGTCCTTTTAGTGAAAGAAATGTGTAATTTATGATATAACAAATAATGTTGAGTAATAAAAATATACATAATGATTTGGCCTGTCAAATTCCCATTAAGAACAAATAATTTGTGGGGTTGACTCTCCATGCAGTGTGTTAACCATTGCCTTGAAATATTGTTCAACAAACTTCCCTATTTTCTATTGTATGGACATTTTCCACATTAGAACATGTATACCAAATTGCTGATTTCGTACTTTACCTTCATTAAGAAAACGAAAACTTTTTGTTTATGTGAGAACTCATCTCATGCATTTACACAGACAGGATGCAACTTACTCGATGACTGCAAAATTTGCACAAAGAAAGACAAAGTTTAATTTGAACTGAAGCTTTATTTTCCACTACTAAATTTATAAAGAGAGATGTAGGAATGAACTTTGATACAGGGTGTTTAAAATTAGCAATAATTGGTAATCGAGGTTCACTTTCAAAAATTTCCATGATCACTTGGTAATCATGGTTAATATTTTAAAGAATATCCATCTTTTGTACTATTACATGACCTGAAAATAAAAGATCTGACACAGAATGATTTACTACATCTTATATGCTGACATCACAAATCATTGCTAATATGTAAACTGCCTTAAGAAAATTGCAGAGATAAATGTGTCAATTTTAATATGTGAAACTTAACAAAATTGGGCACTAATTAGTGATATTTTGCGTGTGAAAATCTGCAAGGATGCTTATATATGCTGGACAGAGGTTAGCTGGTGGAAAAAAAATCGATACCAATTAAATTCCAGTTTCACTGCAATTACTGTCATGATCAATTATGTACAACACAGATACAAATAAGTTGCAAAACCCAACACCAAACAATTGAAATGTTTCAACTAAAAAGTAGACTCAATTGATGAGATATCTTTGACATTTAAATTGTCTACTCTAATGCAATTACTACCGAAGCCAAGTTAAATTACAACTTCACAAATGTTGAAGGCAAGCAACGCGTAAACATAAATCTTACGTCTATATAAAAAATCTTACATCACAAATCTTTCTTCATTTAGCCATCCATCTAAACTAGACATTATTTCAGTACATAACAAATGCAACAATACAGAACACCCTTAAAATATCATAAAATTTATGGTAACAGTCACCAAAAATACCACATCAACCATATAATGTTGCTCAAATTTATCTGAATATTAAAAATACTATATCTGAATATTTTAAAAATTTGAAAGAAAGTCACATGTATAAGAAATGTACATTATCCAATAACAAAGTTAAAATTGAATAGTATTTGATGACAAACATTTATCACAATGACAGAAAATACTTCACATAAAAAGACCTTCAATATTTGAAAGAAGGCTGGGGAATGGTGCACTGGTTAAAAATATCACCAAAAATTATGACTTAGATAATACATAACAACTTTCAAATAGTCCTCATTTTCCTAAATAAATACTATTTGTAATATAACAGTCCATAATAAATGAAGTAAGAGTCTGTATTAAATTAAGATAGACCTAATATTTAATTTTTGTTGCTGTTTTTTTTTTTTTTTAATTTTCAATGTCAACCTTTAAATAATTTTTTTCAAACTTTAAAATGGCTATAGGCAATTCAAAATTAGCTACACTGAATGATATTCTATTCTAAATGAAAATTTCATTAAATAAAATTATTATAAATTTCCATGTGTTCTTGTAATTGTTCTTTTGTTCAGAATTTAAACATGCTGTCTAAATCAATCAATGTATATGTAGAAACTAGTTACTGTCAGCAAATATCCACTGCCTAAAATTGCTCACCACAGGAATCGTTCTATCTTTATTGCCTTGAAAAGGATAATTCTATGTACAGGTCAAGTGCCATGTCCACTGTTCTTCACCACAGGAATCGTTCGATCTTTATTCCCCTGAAAAGGATCATTTTATGTACAGCTCAAGCGCCATGTCCACTGTTCTTCACCACAGGAATCATTAGATCTTTATTCCCCTGAAAAGCTCAAGCGCCACATCCACTGTTCTGGGATGTCCAGAGTTGGTACTACATAGAGGACAAGAGGGCCACCAATACTGTCAGCTCTGTTGCCAATGCAATCATCATGGCCCACAAGGTGGATTTCATTCTCATGATACAAGACCAAGGTAAAATCAGGGTACACGTAAGCAGAATTTTCACTGAAAACCTGAAATATTGATAACAGTGCATTCATATGCAGACGTGTGTTTAAAAAAAACTTGAATATCCATTTATAAGCACCTAAGTCATTCCTATTGATTGAACATAATTATTGTAAACACTTCACATTAATTCTTTTCTTCCAATGCATGTAAACGGAGATAAAGATTTATATGATTCAGCTTCACTAGACACAACAGTACCTTGTTTTCTATCTGCAATGCTAATTCCTCATAAGTTTGGAATCGTCCACAAAGCACAGAAGCCATTACTTGGCCAGCTCCGTTTTGGACAATAACTTGAACCTCTGAAAAAAAAAGCAGTTACTTAACGAAGAAACAACACCAATTGCTGAAACAGGGCTTGCATTATCATTATTTAAGCTTCATTTTTTGTTTAGAGATCATCCATTTTTATCATTTTCACAAGTCTACAAACCATGTGCCTTAAGGGGGGGGGGGGGGGGTTATTGCACTGTGTGATTTTGAAAAAAAAAATGAAAATGATCCAAATTACTGTCAAAGGCCATCATTTTAGTTTTTCACCTTGTACTCCCTGAGGGCTGGAGGTCTGGAAAAGGCTTACGATGATGATTACGTAAATGGATGATCACTTAGTGACATTTTATCAAGCTCAACTCAGTAACTGGTTTCAATTATCAATCCAAGAAAGCTACTGATTCTTGCTTTTAACAAATATTTTTAAAACATGTTAGTATTACAACTCTGGCTTACTGGGTTCATAATCTCTTTCTCCAACATTCCTTTGATTATAACTCATCTCATTGAACTTCTGGCACTTTGCTTGGCAAAGTTTCATCCAGTTTTCAGAATCCTGAAAAAAATAATAAAAGTATATTTCACATGCCTCAAATGCAATTTTTAAATAACTGATTGAAAACAAATATATCTTAGTAGGTTACCTTCTAAAACTTGTAAGCCAATACATTCTGTTTCTACAAGACTATTGAAATTTTCTTAATCCCCAAAATATAAAACATCTCAATTCTTTAACGGATCACCTTTTACAACGAAGTGACATACATTAAGAACACGTACCTTTTGAGCTTTGGTTTTCCCCTTTCTTACTTCTATCCCACCATCAGCTCGATATCTAATAGCCATTCTATACTTCACTTCATAGATGGGAGATGGAGTAGACTGGGTAGACGCTACATTCTTCGCACCATGCTTCCCTCTGGTGGCCTGGTTTAATCTTGAACTGGTCCCTAGTGCCAGGTTACGATTAATCTCACCTCCTCCAGATCTTGTACTTTTACCTTGGGTGTCTGCATCAAAATCTGACCCCACTCCCTCAACAGGTTGTGATACTCTGCATGTGTCACCATACAGGAGTTGTTGAAGCTCCTCTAGATCTAACTCATCATCAGATTCTGTAACGTTATTGTCCGAGATAGAGTGTTCTACTGGTAGAAACGAATTGTCCATTTCGGCAAAGGGTGGTTGTTTTGGGATGTTTGGAATGAAATGAGAACCCTCTGTCTGAGGTACCAAATCTCCAAAGGTTTTTGGTTGAGTCTGTGAGTTTTCTTTATCTTCCTCCTCCTCTTCATTGTTTCTTTCAACTTGATGATGAAAGGCTGTTGGTACAGTTTGTGAGTCACAGATCTCTGCCCTTTGTCTTCTCCCTTGTATGTTGTCCTTGATGACTTCTCCTGAATTGGAGGTAAAGATGTTCTCTTCTGGTGTTGCTTCTGTTGTCCTTGCAGTAGATGAACTGCTTTTTGCTTTTGTGCTGGATTTCTTCTTTCCTCGATCTGGAGGCTCAGATGCTGCACTGTCATGCCATGTTATATCCTCAATGACCTCTGCTCTGGAAATAGCAGCAACAGAGTTGTTCCTCCCTGGTGCTTTTTCCGTTTTCATTGGACCGGACGACTTGCTCTTTGCTTGTCTGCAGGATTTGTTCTTTCCTCGATCTAGTGGCTCAGATGATGCACTCTTACGCCACCTTATACCCCCAAAAGAAACCTTTTGCTGAAGTTGATCTTTTGCCAAGCTGATCTGTTTTCTTGGTGGAATAACAGTGGTTTTGGTATCAGAATTTTGTGTCGCTGATGATTCCTTCTTGTGTACTGAAGTGATGGTGCGCAGCTTAACATCATGTGTCTCATGTACTTGTGTCTCATTTCCTTCATGACCCAAGTGTGGCTGAGAGGATGTGGACCTTACTTTAGATAATTTAGCATGCTTCTTCTGCATTTCTCTGAAGCCTTTTGGCGGGAAGTCACCACGCTTGTCTCCTGTCACCACTTTTTCCTTGTTTCTTGGAATGAACCCTTTTCTCTGCACAGAATCATGGTAACCTTTCTTGCTACGTGCTGTCACGCCCTGATGCTGTCTTGCCTCCTCACTTTTCTTGTCTCCATGTGGTGTACTTGGGGTAGGTCCTACCCTATGATGAGGGCTATTTTTACCACTCATTGCATTGCTCTTTCTATGCATTATGGGAGGTGAAGTATTAGCTCTCAACTGGGCCTTGCCATCTGAAGCATCACTAACTTTTTCAGAGACACGTGGTTTTGGACGAGGAGTATCATGCACAATTTTTGCTGCTTGTGAACCACCCCTTTTTCCACTTGGTTTGCAAGCACTCTTAATAACTCCTTGGCTTTTGAGTTGTTTCTTCACTGGGGCAGGAGTTATGGATGCTTTTGTCTTGAAAGCTGCTGTTCTGCTTGTTGCAGTTTTAACTTGAAAAGCTGACTCTAAGCCAAGGTTTATCCCTTTCTGGAACTCTGCTTGGGAAATATCCAGGCATTTTTCTGATTCCTGGATAATAATAATATTAATAATAATAATAATAATAATAATAATAATAATGATGATGATAAGAGAATTGCAAAGTATATACTTCATATGCAATCTTGAAATCACTATTTCAGAGAAGTTATGCATCTTATAATATTATATTCTAACCTTTTTTTTTTACAAATCAATACACTTTATTGCTACAAGATTACTTTAATGTTTGTCTTTTAACAACAATATGACACATGCTTAAAAGGTGTACCTTCTGGGCTTTCGCTTTTCCACTCGGTATTCCTTTCTCACCATCAGCTAAATTTCTGCCAGCATCTCTGTCTTGTACTTCACAAATGGGCTGCTCTACATCACACTCATTTTCTTCATGACATAAACCTGACTGAGAAGATCTGGACCCAACTATACAGATCATAGCAGGTTTCTTCTGTGTTTCTATGAAGCTTTTCTTTACTGGGCGAGGAATTTTGGATGGTTTACTCCTATTGGGTGCTTCTTTCCTCTCATCTAAACCACTAGCCATTGCCTCCTTTATTGTTTGTGTCTCTTTATTACTGCTCGCCTCTCTGGTGGCTTCTGTCTGGGTACCTTTCTCCAAAACTGCGATTTTATTTTGCTTGCTTGACACATCATTATGAATTACTCTTGTTTCATTTATGAACTGACCTTCATTCCCCTTCCTTTCTGATCCATGGCAGGGAGAATCTGGGTCATAGTCAGAATCATGGTCATCATCTAAAGCTTGGTCAATTCTGTCTTTTGTAGATTCAATGTTATTTTTGCTTTCCTTTACAATGGAAATGGAATCATCTGGTATGACCCCCGACAAAACTTTTTTTCTGGGATTAGTTTGAACTGAAATCACGAGTCCACTGGCTGAAGATACAGAAATATTTTTTTCCAAGTTGGTAATTTCTTGAATTTCACTTTCTGAACTCTTTTCCCCGCTGTTTTCACTTGGTTGGATGCATCTGGAATCTTTTTGGACATTTAGTGTGTCCATTGCCCTTCTTTTAGACTTAAGACAAAGAGCCTGGCTATCATCTGTACCCCCATTTGGAGATGTCTTGTTGAGACTCAAGAACTTGCCATCGAAGTCCACTCTATCCCTTGGCTGTCCAGTTGTCCTGTCATCAAAAAACTGCTGCTCTACACATGACTCTTGTCGGATTTGTGAAGGATTGGACCCAACTGATACCATTGCTTTAGAGGGGCAAGGTGTAGTGGTTTCTTCATGCAAAGTGCGTTTTTCAACTTGGAGGTTTTTTGAACCCTGTTCTTCATGAGGTGATTTATCCCATTTACCTGTCACTCCACAAGCAGGAAAAGACACTTCCTTGGTACCACTTTTGGATGCCTGAGTAACTGGACCCTTGAGGACTTCAGATGATGTCTCATTTTGAGAAGTTCTGTAAGTTAATGTTTTTTATGATGAAAATTAATATGTGCACCAATAAAGTAGATTTAGACAAAGCACCAAATTATCGAATTATAACTTCCCAGCTACAGCATGATTTCACAGAAACCTTACATCATTATTTAATCTGACATGCATCACAGTCTCAATAACTTACTCTTTCTGCTCCTCTGCCATCCTAGCTTTCTTTAAGGCATCTACGTCAAGTATTAGCACTTCTCCTGACAAATATAAAATATGTTATAAAGTGTATGACCTTGTGGTCCGAGTGTAAAGAAAAAGAGAGAAGACAGGCTAAAAACAGTCCAGATACATACTAGTGCTTTAGTGTCATCTCCCCATTTTGTACTTAGCGCTTAAAAGTATCTTTTAAAGGTTAAGAAGGAGGTAAATACAGGGCATATTCTCTGATGATGCAAATCCCTTCAGAAACATAATTTCAAATTAGCTTTACTACCACAGGTCTCATAAACAGATTAGGCGTTTCCTAGCAAGAGCCTCTGATTCACAAGTGCAAACGCCAATATTAACGAGCCCCATCTCAGATTAACAAGCAAAAACATTAAGTTAACGTGCACTAACTTGGCGTTTCCAAGCATTAGCTGTTGATCGGCTTATCTACCTGTTCAGTATGAGCAGAAAGTTGGCGAGAATGCATTGCTGCTGTATTAATATGCAGTATGGATAGTGCAATATACTAATGCAGTAGTTTGGTTTGTTTTGAGAATTTTATATATTCTACTTTTATTTTGTTCAAGTTAAAATATCGATACATGGAAACAGATATTTCTGAGTCGATGAAAAGAATCGATGAATCATTTTTTACTTGCATCCTATTTATTATTTGCATAGTGTCATATTATTTAGGTGCAGGAATAGGCTACAGGTACAATGATGGCAGAATCAGGTGCTGTGTAGGCTGAGAGTTTTTTGACGCTTCTTCAATCAATCGTTTTCGCCCAGAAATCTCTGAAAGATCTACCGTTATGTCTCTTGTATCTTCCGCCATCTTGAAAATAATCCCGAGTTGATACAAAGAACCCATATGTAAGCAGCCGGGGCCCCGATGGAAGCTGGACAAATTGGTAGTGCTTGGAAATGCTACGTTTGTGCTCGGTAAGCTTACGTTGTGGTTGTTAATCTGAGGTGGATCGAAAAGGCAATTATTGTTTATGAGGCCTGTACGTATCAGCAATATAGGCCTTCCTATTGGTTATAAGATAAAACTTTGCCATATGGACAAAGAGTTATACTTTTTACTGACAACTCATGAAAATTTGGATCATTTAATGTGGTTAAAGGCTTTTTATGCATATTTATGTATGAACAAAAAGTTTAGCAAAATCTACTAGTTAATAAAAATATAGCACTAGCAAAACTGGAAATGGTTGGAAACAATATTGAGGAACACCTTAAGGACTGTGGTGTGTATGCAGTTTTAAGCCTACATATACATGTATTGCACGTACTGTAAATGGAATCTTGAGAAAAATCTTCACAGTAATTAACATTTTGAATTTTGAATAAAAGAAATCATACTCAAACATATTTTTGTTCAAAACATAGACCTACTATATACCCTTTACCAAGGCTACAGATTGATTATTTAGTAAATATTCACATATGTCTATGACTTATTCATGACAGAAATTTAAGGGACCATTCCCAGACCCTTTTGTACTAACTGTGGATCGATCTATCTCCAAGCTGATTCTTGCCAAATTGCAATTAACTTAAGCAGCTTAGATAACTGTCATGCATTTTAAAGCTGCTAGGGGTTAAATAATTATTGTTTAGCAGCTTTAGTAGCGTGTCAGATATCTAAGCCGCTTTAGCTGAAAGTAATTTAGCGAGAAACCCCTTGGAGATTGATCGATCCTTTTAGATTGATCAAAGTATGGAAGCCCAGTCTAAGTGCACATAATTTATCAATGGTCTTTGGAGAGCATATGCTTAGTCCCATAATTTTTTTATTTGTGTCTTATATGCACGACTATGCTCCCACCTCTGATAAACTTTACTTTTATTTTATACCCTACACAAAAAATTTAACTCATACATCCTGACTATTGACTAATATATGAACCTTCTGACCAATGAACATGCTCAAAAGCTAGTCTACGGAATATCGAATTCGAACATATTCGGACTAATGAAACTTTAGACATCTCAACCTTTACTCGGCTTCAGACTATTGCTATGACCCCGCTAGGTCCAAATGTTTTAGGAAAATCACGTATCTTAAGAATTTGAAACTGTATGTTTTTATGTACTCAGTATTTATATTGCATGAGATAAAATGGCCAAAGTCACCATGCAATATAAATGTGACTAAATTTGAAAGTTTACCCTCGGTGATTCAAACTTTTAAGAATAGCATACACCAGACGTATACTCACTCCTCTTTGGGAATCCTCTTAATTGAGCACTGTATAGGCAGTTGTAACGATTGTTGTCAAACAAAGTCAGCACTAGTATAAAAGCTTCCTGACAACCTGACAGACATTTTTATTTACAAACCAAACAATGGAAGAAAAAAAAGGTCCCTTATAGACAGAATATATAACTGTATGCACTGCAAAATATATAATTTTGAATATGATATTAAGTCAACACTGATACTTAACTTAAGTGAACAACCGAGAGAAACATTGCACGAACTTAAATAAACACGTTAAGCAAGGGGCCTATTTTTTTTAATGTAACAGATCATTGCGTTTAAACACTTCCGTGTTGTAATTCGTCGTGTTGATATACATGTATCGTGCAAACGTAATTTTATCTCAAAAATAACATTCATGGTTTGACCATACAATCCCATGGTTTGACTGAAATTCTTATCTTACCATAGAAGTTCTCTACTTTTATGTCTTAGCACGCAGGATTATCATATGTTATGGCGCGAAAGTATAATTTCCTCCTCTTCTCGTGATCACGCGAGTTAATCACGTGCTCACCACGTCGTATTTGTGGCGTTTTTTTAGCTCTAATTCTACAAAATATCACTTAATTAATAATAAGGCCTCGCATTAGAATTAATTATATCAAATTATAAGGTATATTTTATATTTTAAAGTATTATAGAAGATTCCAATAATAGGCGAGAACTACTGTATTTTGAGGTATGCCAATTAGCTGTGATCTTTATTAAATAAATATGAATAATAATTTAAAGAGCACAAGAAATGCTTAACATTTACAGGCTCTCTAGCTACTATAAAATATAATATATTATTAAGTAGCAAACTATACTAATCTACGCGGGGATACACGCTTTTGAATAACTGTTTTCGAATTTTTATATGGCAGAGTGGATTAAGTAAAATAGATAGTTTATTGTCTGTTGGACCCAGCAAATTTACCTCTGGTACGGAGGCAAAGTGTATTTCCCGTTTGGCTCTGTGTTAACTGCATTCTAGAAAAAAGTGCTTCATCTTCTATTGAGTCGCAGTGGGGGCACTTCATTCATCAATTGTCGTCTTTGGAGTTTCTAATTCATGATCACTGATCCTCATTTTTGCCAAGACCTTTTTTAGCTAATAGAACACTGACTTATAGATAAAGTTCAGCCTCATAAGTAGGTTTAATTTTACCATATTTTATGAGTTTGTTGTTTTCGACTTTCTGCAATTCTTCCCAAAATTTGACTTTATTATCATTTTTATTATTTCTTCATTTAGATATTCGTGGTTGTGGATTTTAGTATGATATGTTGTTACAGTGGCGGATTTAGGGGCGGTCAGGGGGCTCCTGACTCCCCCCTTCGATTTTTGAAAAAGATCACACCAATGGTCCCCTCTTGAAATTAGAATTTCTAAACCGTACAAAATGACACCGTTCGCCCTCTAAAATACCAAATTTTTCGGGGCCCATCAGCGTGCCCCGAACCCCACGCTGGGTAGTTGGGGGGGGGGGGGGTGAGGACTGCTTCACATCCGGCGGACCCCCCTTCAAATAATCCTGGATCCGCTCCTGTTGTTGTTTGGGTGGTGTCATGACGAAAGTTTTTTAGTAGTCCGAAACCACTTAATTCCCATTTCTGAATGTTTTCTCCAGCATAGGACCTAAAGGTTCTCTTCGCCAGACCCGTGAAATCCCTTAGTTTGCCAATTTAAAGTTTTATCACCACTTCCGATGGATGGCTTGTAATTTTTCGTATAATATTTCTTGATTTTTCTAGTATTTGTCTGGTCTATTTTTAAAAGAGGGATTTGTGTGGGACCGTCGCCACTTCTTCTGTAAAGTTTGTCTAAGTTATTGTAGATCTTAGTGTGAAATATTTTTTCTTAGTTCAGTAGAACTCTGTTGCGTGTATAATTTTTAAGAGTTGCCTCGTATACTCTGACGGCCAGGCACATTTTTTGATAGATTTCCCACCGATTTCGATTTTTTTCGCTCTGTGGTGGACTTGCGTGGCCCTCTAGGGTCGTTTTATGTGGTTTTTTAATCCTCCGGTTTTGAGTCATATAGCGATTTTTCGACAATAAATTTCTAACCAATCAAGGTGACATACCCGAGCGGGATCAAACCTCACATACGGTTTGATTATAAAATGATTTTCTATGTAATAATATTTATTTATCTATCTATTTATTTATTCAATGTAGTTAGATATATGTTCCATAATCTGATGATTGCACCTTGTATGTGAAGGGGTGTTTTATCAGTAAATAAAGATTCATAGGGATAAAAAGTTACAAGCTTCTGGATCGTAATGACATGTCGGGAACCACGCAAATTTGGTAAAAACTTTAAAATGTCAAACATGCTTGAAATACGGACACGTACTGCTGTAAACTTTTTGGTTGGATATCGCGTTAATACTATTGACTATTTGTGGGGAATTCCACTCTTTAATATCAAGCAAAGACAACAAAGAATTCTTGAACTAACTTCTTAATCAAATTAATTAGCAAGCCTACTTTACCTCTTTAGATTTTACACAACGTATTATAAAAAAAAAATTACGGCCTAAAAAGACATAACGTGAGGTTACCAACACATGCAGGTGATTTTTAAATGTCCCCGACATATTTCCCCCTTTCCCAATTAAAACCACGGAAGTATATGTTTTCTGCAGCCCATGGTTTGACTGACTACTCTTTCATTAGCAGAGTGGAGGGAGAGTAGACTGGGAAGCAGTAGTTACTAACTACGTTTGGCTTTTTGCCAAGATGCGATTAGTGCTACAGCTCGTACTTCTCTATTGACGTCACGTACATGACAATAAGAAGTCAGTGTGGTCTTTGTCTGGTCATCTACAACATGTCACATTTTAGTCACATGACCTAGAGGGCACTGCGTAGTATAAAATCAGTATTCGCGCCACTCTTTTGTTCATTCATGACCTGGTGGCGAAGAAGAGAGATACGGGAGCTGTTTGTTGGAACATGTAAACTACGTACGTGTAAGTAAGGACGTTGTCGCACTTCTTGAATCGCCTTGACGGGGTCATGGATTAGTTTGAAAATGCTTAAGTCAGCTCCAGTTTTAGGGCATTATGAAGAATTCTGGGCAATAAGAAAATGTTGTTTCGTGTGGTTTTCAGATTCATTTGCCGATCAATGAAACAACCAAGCGTGGTCGACACTTGGATTTCCCGCCATTTAAATTTCCGTGTGAAATGTAGTGAGGGCGTTCAGCAGTTGTGGATTTGCATAGGTTTGAATGTATTGTGTTGTAAAATACTCTCAAGCGAAGAACTTGATTTGTTTGGTCCACTTTGATGTACACAGGTAAGCAATGTCACTTGGACTTAAATTTTAAATGATGTGGTTTGGTTTTCATGTTACTTTGAATTTGAGTAATTGAAATTTTGTTCCTCATTGACTAAAGCATTGTTGTTTTCAAGTAATTGATTTCTATGGCTCACTTTGGTTACACCCAATTTGATACAAGTTATGTTGTTTTAAGGTAATTGATTTGTTTCATCCACTTTGTCACTTCAACATTGACTTCAAATGATGTTGCTGATTTGCTTTTTATAATTTGGTTTAAATGCCACTTTGAGTTTAAATAATTGATTTTTTCTTTCAATTTTCAATTAAGTAATATTATTTTATACTGAATGTCACTTTGAATTCAAGTAGTTGATTAGTTTCGTTCACTTTGATTAAGGTTAAATCAATTTAAATTTAAATTCCAAGTTAATGATTTACTTAGTAAAGTTTGATTTAAGTAATGTCACTTTGAATTCAAATAACTGATTTGCTTAGTATATTATTATATTATATTATATATTAGTATATTTTGATATTAGTAATGTCACTTTGAATTCCTTTAATTGATTCGTTTGGTCCACTTTGATTTGAGTAATGTCAATTTGAACTTAAGTAACTGATTTGCTTAGTATAGTTTGATATTAGTAATGTTCACTCTGAATTCCTGTAATTGATCATCTTTGTTGACTTTAAGTAATGTCCACTTTGATTTAAGTAATGTCAATTTGAATTCTTGTAATTGATTTGCTTAGTATAGTTTGATATCAGTAATGCAATTTGAAATTGTGTAATTGATCATCTTTGTTGACTTTAACTAATGTCAATTTCATGTCAAGTAACTGATTTGCTTAGTATAGTTTGATACAGTAATTTCACTTTGGATTAAAGTAACTGATTTCCTTAAGTATAGCTTGATTTAACTACTGTCACTGTGAATTCCATTAATTGTTTGTTTCACTTCAATTTCAGTACCGTTACTTTCATTTCATGCAATTGCTCTGCTTGGTCCACTTTGATTTGAGCAATTTCAACTTGAATTCAGGTAATTTTGTTTATCATAATTGATACAAGTAAAGTCAAGTAACTGATTTGCTTACTATAGATATAGATTTAAGTAATGTCACTTTGAATTC